GCAAAAAAATATAAATAATAATGTTTGAAAACTAATAACATTTAATGTAAATCACATGTTTTCAAGGAAATTAAATGAAATTTACTAACTAAATGTAACCTTTTAAAATATTTTTAAGTTCGAAAAAAAATATTTAAAATTCATCTAATTAAGGCAATGACATTATTTTAAAAACTATTTCATTGTATTTGTGTGAAAAATAAATAAAATATAAAATCATTTCATGGATGTATAAAGCATATGTTCATATCCTTAAATACATTTACTGTAGTTTAATAATTCTAGATCTGATATTATATTTAAATAATTATTTATCAAAGTCCGTTTATTCTGAAATATTGTCGTGTAACTTTTTATAAAATTAAATTAGTGAATAATTCAATGAATTGTCCGTTTGTGATATTACAACAGTATCCCCTACTATTTCATTGTACTTGTGTTAAAGAAGAAGTGAAATATAAAAATATTTCATACGTATGTTTATAACCTTAAATATATTTACTGTAGTTTAATAACTCTAGATCTAATATTATATTTAATGTATCTATCATCCGTTTATTCCGAAAAATCATCATGTAACCTTTTTGAAAATTCAATTAGTAAATAGTTTGATGAAATTTCCTTTTGTAATATTCCAACAGTATCCACTTACAATTAGTGTGACAACTTTTGACCTGTCTATGACAAATCTCTTAATTCCATTTTAGTAAACTTTGCCATGAAAAATAACAGTTTAATAACTAATAGTCGTACAATCCATAATCAATGGATCGTATAATCCATAATCAACTGGTGATATAATAAAAAGGACTTCTGTTATTTTAATGGTATTTATGATTTGTTAGCTGTAATTTTTTAGCTTTAGCTAGGTTAAAAATGAAATTCAAAAATTTTATAATAGCCCAACATGGCTTGAAAATAATTTCTATTCTAAGTTGAGTGTTGAGTGAAAGTTATGTGCACTAGATTTTTTATTTGTGGTTTTTAAAATTAACTTTTCAGAGTTCTTCAAAATGAAAGTCCATTATTAGGTTGTCAGGTGTGTTTTTTCTGAAAGTACTATCAGATTTAAGATTGTGCAAGTATTAACAATTTTTCAAATTTCATGGAATTCACAATCCACTAATACATTGTCGGTTTTAAGGATTTGCAATTACGTATTGAGTTTTGTAAATTTTCAAAATTCTTAGATCCAATGGTCCATCATTATATGTTGTCGGAGATGCTTATGAAAATACTATTGGATTTAAGATTCTGCAATCACGTATCCAGTTTTGTAACTTTTCGGCTTTCTTTGCTACAAGGTTCTGTTTTGACGCTTTCAGTATGGACTTGCTTTTCAGAGAATACCACACGGCTAGGTGCATATTTCTTAAAATATTTTCTATAATGAAAATTCACAAAACAACTTTTAGATGCTTGATTTAAAAATGAAATATACCCTTTAACGCTAGAAGGGTACTGAAGGCAACTGTCACTGATGGGAGCAAAAAATGTCTATCCTGACCACTGAAGGCCTCTGCCTCTGGAATAGGAAAGGAACACACACTGTGCTTTCCAAAGGATCACCTGGCCATGGGAAAAGATCGCACTGTCTTTCCAGAAGGACTATTCGGACCGAGAGAGATAAGATTGTATAGTGGGGTATGTAAGTTTGGAACTTATCTGATTTACAAATAATAGATTTGGATTTAGCACCACCAAGAATATAAAAATGTACCAGTATTTTGAATAAATTCAAAAACTGGATACGTCATTGCAAAATCTAAAAACTAATAGTATTTTTACAAAAAGCGCTTTTTACAACATAATAATGGGCTTATACGGAAGAAATCTGAAAAATTATAGCTCAATGGACCCTTATTTTGAAAAAAATTGAAAATTTAAATTTATTTTTGGATTGATTAATGCTTGAATAAATGTTTATTCAGTGAATACTTTTATTGACTAAATTTTTGTTCAGTAAATATTTCTTTTGAATAAATATTTATTCAGAGAATATTTGAATCGAATAAGTTTTTTTTATATTGGAATAATGAAAAATTCAAATGATAAATTAGAACTTCAGGTTATTTAAAGAATCACCAATCATCAAAACTTAGTGATTGAAAATTTGTTGAATAAATTATTAAAAAAAAAATTCATTCATTAATACCAGAGTTGGACGTTAGCGAACTAATTTTTAACTAGCTATATATCAGCTAAAATTAGCAATGCTAAATATGAAGCTAATGTAGCTACTAATTGTTTTATCACAGTTAACTTTACATCTAAATTAGCTATTAACGGAAACAAACAGCTAACTTTTAGCTATAGCTAAATTAACTATTGACTTAACTAAAAGCTAATTTAACGCTAACAATAGAGTGAAATTTATTCATTTCATTAATTGATATTAGGATCGTCTGTAATTTAATGCGCTTTTTATGAAAATTTTATCGGATTTGAATTTCCCCTCTCCAGCCTCGTCTTTTTAAAACTTTTTGGATTTAACCGATATCAGGGTCCACCATTATGTTTTGGGGGAGGGGGCGCTTTTTGTGAAAATGTTGTCGGATTTGAGATTGCCCTCCTCCCCCCAGCATCAACTTTTTGTAACATTCCAGATATAATCGATATTAGTGTCAACTATTATAGTTCTTTTTTGAGGGGGCAGCTTTTTACGATAGTACTGTCGGATTTAATCGTTATCAGGATCGCGAATATTATATTTTGGGGGGTACTTCTCGAGATTTGAGATTGTGCAGATAAATTGAAAAGAAATAGAAAATAGAAAAGAACTCAAAGTAAAATAATTCCAAGTAAATTTGAAAATGCAAAGTACTCTCAGGGACTGCTGATTACTTTTTTTACTTGTCAATTATTCGGTTAGGGAGTGATTAGAGTACTCAATATTCGGACCGCGTGAGTATTTGAGGAAAATACTTGGAAAACTCTGTGATTTGTAATTTTTACTCATAGTACTTTTTGCCCATCTCTAATTTTGAATCCAGTATTTTAATTATTTTCTAATTATTAATAATAATAATTAATATTAATAATCTAAATATTATCATAAAAAGCGCCCCCTAAAACATAAAAATCGACCCTCATATCGATTAAATCAGGAAAGTTACAAAAAGTCGATACGGAGGGGGGGAGTTCGCAATTTCAAATCCAACAGTATTTTCATAAAAAGCACCCCTCCAAAAGATAATAGTCGACCCTGATATCGATTATATCTGAAAAATTACAAAAAGTCAATGCGGGGAGAGGTGAAGGGGGGCGCTATCTCAAATCCGACAGTATTTTCATAAAAAGTGTCCCTGAAAACTTTATAATCGACTTTAAAATGAATTAAATCAGAAAAGTTAGCTATTAGCTTTTAGTTGAAGTTATAGAAAAAGCTAATTAACTGGTGGCTATAAGAAAAGCTAATAATTAACTATAGCTAAAAGTTAGCTTATTGGTCCCGCTAATAGCTAATTTAGCTGTTAGCTGTTAGGTATAGATAATTTTTGCCCAACTATGAGTAATATCCACCACTGCCATAAATTATTAAAGTTTCAGTTGACTAAATTTTAATCAATTTTTAATCTCATTTAGATTAACAATAGACCCAGAAAATTGGAGTATGGATTAGTAGGATATGACTGTATTTTAAATATAATATAGAAAAAATTGTGCTGCCTATAGAAGAAAACTACATGCTATTTCTGTGTCAGCTTCATGAGTACTATATCCTTCGGACATTTTCGACACTGTTTTGACCTGTGCTTTCTCTCGATTTTCTCTATCCAAAACTGTGCTTGCCTGCCTGTGTTAAGGTCTATACTGGTATTGGTAGAGGGACTTAGTCCAACAAGTGGGCCGATTGGTCCTTTTTGCCAATCCCAAAGACAATACTATCAATGGTTGTCTATTGTACCTCCAACTCTGATCTCAAACCTTCTTGTTCTTCTAATGAAGTTCAAAAGGTTGGACCATTTTATGGAGGTAGCTTTGCATACTCGTATTTTGTATGCTCCCAGAAGTCTGTACCTGAATATCACATTCTGTAATGAAGTGAAGGGCAGTTACTGCTGCGTTTCTGCAAAGATAGCAGAGTTCATCATTTACCATCCCACAGATCTTTAAATGTCTTTAAGTCTGCAGTGGCCTGTTAGTACTCCGATTATTTTTTTAGCTAGGCCAAGCAGCCACTTAGTTTTGGAGGGGGAGGGACTTTTGATAAATTGTTTGGGTTGTCTAAGCCCAGTGCATTCCCTCCATTCTCTACCTGCTCTTTTCCAAGTCCAATCAAAGACTTTTTTCCACTGATGTTTTTTAGATATTCCTATTGAAGGTTCCGAACCTAGAATAGGAAATTCCACTTCTTTCCTTGCAAAGGCATCAGCTTATTCATTGCCTTTATTTCCCTTGTGACCAGGAACCCACACTAGCTCTATTCTCTTAGAGCAGGCCAGTGTCTCCAAAGCCTGTTTACACTCCTGTACCAGTGTGGAGGTCAGTTTGGGGGACTCCAATGCTTGTAGTACCAACTGACTATCCGAATAGACAGTGATGCCAGCATTCTCGCAATTAGTAACTTCTAGACAGGTGGCGGCAGAAAGTATAGCAAACACCTCGGCTTGGAATACTGTAGCATGTTTACCTAATGGTATGCTTAATTCTATATTTAGGTTCTCTATATAGACTCCTGCACCCGATGTATTCTAGTAGAGTCTTTTCTCGACCCATCAGTAAAACAGGGCAGGTAGTCCTTTTGAGTTTCTACTGAATTCTGTGCCCAATCTTTTACATTAGAGTACAGGAAACTAACCTTAGTTAAGGCCTATAACTAACTAAATAGCAATGCAGACAACTGTGCCACAGTTTTTTTTTTTGTTCAGCAGTCTCATTGTGCACCCAGAATAATAATGTTCTATGCTACATTTATTAAATTTACTGGTCACTTTGACCTCTGGATTCTCACAATAAAATAATAAATAAACATTATCCAAATATGATAATGTACTTACCTTCATTGGAATGTTTTCATACTCCGACACAATAGCTAATAAAGCTTCAGAAATATTTCCTTTTTCCACACTCACAATTCCAATAATAGCTTGTGATATGTTCACATTTACGCTTCTAATATTAACACCTACTGGATTTTCATTAAGTAGGCCAAAATTGAACAGCTTAGTACTTCCGATTCCTATTGTTCCCAAATTAATGTAAGTTTCATTCAAATTCCAAGTAATAACCTAAAAATATTAATTAAAAACAACAAAACATCAGTGAGAACTAAGATAAATTAAGTATCAGTGATTATGGAAGTATTTGTATCATTAATCATACAAAAAAACTATGGAATTTCAAGCTACTTTTATTGCTGGAATTTCAAGCTACTTTTATTGCTTTACTGTCAAGTATTATGTGATGTTTTATGGGAGAGATTGCATAGGAGGATGTGATTGTGAGTAAGCTACCATTACACACATAGAATATTTATTTCAATTCCTCAAGAAATTAATTGAACATAATTGTACTTATTCTATTAATAAATACAAATTAATTATGTTAAAGTCAGTGTGACCATACAGGTTGGTCAACATGAGATGTTTATATAAATTGCTTTACAGGGTCTTTTATAATAATAATAAAGTTATTTTTCATTGATGGATATATAATTAAATGTTAAAATTACGAGGATGGAAAATAAACAGGATATGCAGTCTTTATATGATTTACTAGAATTGGCGATGTTTCGACCCAAGCATATGGGTCATCATCAAAACTAAAAAATAAAACATTACATTAGAAAAAAAAAATTTAGATGGGAATATGTAAGACAAGATTGAAAGATGGAAAGTATACATGAGATAACTTTAATATAAACATAATAGTATACCAAGAAAAAAATTGAATACATAAAAATAAAATAAAAACAAAAAATTATATAAAGAGTAAAATTAAATTAACGAAATGATTAGCACAAATAATAAATATGGGGAGAGGAAGGGCTAAGAATATCTAAGAGATATTTTTTATTACAAACGAAAATCGGATAAGAACATATGAGTTTTTTTTTTAAATTATTTCCCTGTGGATACCCACTCACCCTGTATGTTACATATATAGGTAAGTGAAAGTGAAAATTAGTGATGAGGACTATTGTTTAATTCAAAGTGTTAATAAAGTATTGTCAGAATTATGACAACTTCAGGATCAGATGTGGTTTTCTTATTGGCACAATGTTCTAATAAACACCGGTGGACAAAAAAACTGGTGCACCCTGAATTTTACATTAAAATCATAGATTAAAGAAATATTTTTGAGCCTGAAGTAATAAAAAGGTATATGATAGGTCAAGGGGATTTTTTTTTTCTTATGGAGCTACAACCTGGTTACAGGTTTTGGCCTCCTCCAATTGTCACGGTCTTGTGTCCATGCCATCCAGTTCCTAACTCCAAACTTGCTGCGGGCGTCTCCTGACCATCTCAGCTTTGGTCTCCCTCTTCTCCTTGTTCCATGGATTGGCTGTGTAAGTAATATTTTAGGCATTTCATCATGGCAATATGCCCTGCATACCTTAAGCGCATCAACTTCATTGTACAGGTCCTGATTCTTGCGGCACTTCCACTTGTCTCCACCAAAAAAACGACAGAGAACTTTTCCTTCAAGTTCCTTTTCAGTGGCCTTCGAAGTTGTCCAGCACTCTGATCCATAAAGAAGTACGGGACGCAGCAATGTCTTATAGAGGTGAAGCTTGGTCTGTCTGGAAAGTATCTGCCTCCTTAGCCGCTTGCTTAACCCAAGGTAGCATTTGTTGGTTGCTATTATCCTTCTTCTTATCTCTATATCGGGATTATTATCTTGAGTGACCTCAGATTCCAGATAAGTAAACTCCGAGACCTTCTCAAATTCATGAAGCCCAATAGTGACTGTCTCACCGGGCATGGGAATTTCATTTGCAACCTGTTCATTTCAAGTCTGCTGGCAGGAGCAGCCAGTGCCAGAAAAGCATCAGTCACAGCCTGCAAAGAGCGTCCAACAATGTCTATATCATCAGTGTAGGTGAACAGGTGGATAAGGTCAAAGAAGATTACAATGAATTAATTCTGTGGAGAAAATCTCATGATTCACTATAGGATTAACAACAAAAGTATTAAAATAAAATGTGGACTTCATATCAATTTGTCTCCAGTTCTTGAAAAACATTATTTCAATTGTATCAAACATTTTTAAGAGTGTAAAATGGTTTGGATTCCACGGCAGTAGCTCAGATTACTACTTTAATTGAAAATGGCTAAAGAATCTGTGGAAAGGGGTGTAAAGATCAGAAGGACAAGATCATGTGGGGAGGATGTGGATAGATGAATTGAATTGTAGGAGATTTCATGCATAGGATGGACGATGATTATTAATTATTTGGTAAAGGAATGTGCCTAGGAAATATTGTTTTCGGAAGGAGGGGAAGAGCCACCCTAACACGGCACAGTGGTGAGAAACACGAGAACATCTCGGTGTCCCAGTGACAAATCTTATGAAGGCATTCATAATTCTTTTCAGGCTGTCCCCGAGTTCCGCCGAGAGGCCACCGTACACCACGCAGCCATAATCAAGATGAGAAAAGATACTAGGAGTCTACGTGTGAGAATGGGTAGGAGATGACGGAAGTGATGGAATAGTTTAAAGGAACCTGAAGCAGACACATTTACGCTATAAATAATTAGTAACCATTTTGTAACCTTACTTTTTAATACCAACAAATGTTGTTTAAGTTACTTACTTAGGATTGTTAATTTTTATTGTTCATAATTGTCTGTGTTTTCCTTGTGTTCCATTAAAGTGGTTAAAAAGAATGATTTTCTCATTTTATTAACTACATTCAATTAGAGGCTCAGTATAGAAGAGCAAAAATAACATATGACCAAACAAAATTTGATACAGTCATAAGTTCTATTGATTCTGAAATATTATGTGACCAAACAAAATTCGATACAGTCGTAAGTTCCATTGATTCTGAAATATTATCACAAATTTCTGACTTATTATACGACCCACCTACCAGTAATTTATATAAGGCTTTAAAAGACAGGTTGGTAAATAATTTTGCTGACAGTGAAACTCAAAAATTGCACAAATTGCTGTCAGATGTAGAAATCGGTGACAAAACACCTTCTCAACTCTTATATGAGATGAAATAGTTTGTTCAGAATAAAGTTACCGACGAATTCTTAAAAGCTCTATGATTACAGCGCCTTACGAAAAACACCCAGGCCATTCTTTCTACCAGTAATGATAACCTTACTGAATTAGCACTAATGGCTGATAAAATTTGGGAACTCAATCCCACATCTCCATTTCATATTTCTCCAGTAACTCAATCAGATTCAAACCCAAACGAATTAGAAACCCTTAGAAAGCAAGTTGAACAACTATCTTTAGAAGTCAGTGCTCTCCGCAGACAATGGCCCATCGTCCAAATTCCAGAACAAGGAAAGATTCTTCTGAAACTATAAATTTAGGTCTTTGCTATTATCATTATAATTTTGGAGGTAAGAAGCAAATGTTTTCCACCATGTATATTAGGAAACAACCGAGATTAGTCTCAGGAAAACTACCTCCCTGTTCTCCCAAGGCAACAGGATACACGGGGGCCGAAATAAGTCACCTTTTTATACGTGATATTCCTAGTAATTCTTTATTTCTAATAGACACTGGGGCAGACATTACTGTAATTCCTCAAATTTCAGTAATGTCTGCTCAAAATTTTTACAGAAACAACATAGCTAAATTTGAACTATTTGCTGCCAATGGTGCCCAAATTAAAACATATGGTCAGACTTCTTAAATTAAACCTAAGTCTTAGAAGGTTTTTTGTATGACCATTTATTATAGCTGAAGTGAACAAACCAATAATAGGTATTGATTTTTTTATCCCACTATAACCTGATTATTGATATAAAAAACAATAAACTCATTGATGGTGAGCCCCTAATATCTTCATCTCCCATTTCTATTCGCTGTGAATCTAATTCTGTCTGTTCAATCAACAATTTGACCCATATCATTCATTATTGTCTAACCATCCAATCATTATTGTCCAATCAGGCCAAATATATTGGACATAAAATTGAGAGAACACAACATCGAACATTTTATAGAGACTTAGAGGACCTCCAGTATTCGCTAAGCCTAGAAGACCCACCTTATAAACTTCAAGCAGCCAAACAGGAATTCAACTTCATGTTACAACAAGGTTTGTGCAGACCTTCTAAAATCTCCTGGGCTAGTCCACTTCATCTCACTAAGAAACAGAATGGCGATTGGAGACCATGTCGAGATTATAGGAAACTCAAACAAATAACTGTTCCAGATAGGTATCCATTACCTTTTCTAACGGACTGCACACACATATTAAACGGAGCTAACATCTTTTCATGCATAGACTTGGTCAGAGCTTTTCAATAAATCCCAGTTCAAGAATCAGACAAAGAAAAAAACGCTATAATAACCCCGTTTGGCCTTTTTGAATTTTCCTTCATGACATTCAGCATTAGAAATGCACCACTAAGCTTTCAACGGATCATGAATAAGGTACTTGATGGTTTCAATTTCAGTTTTTGCTATATCAATGGTATACTTGTAGCATCACCTGATGACACAACACACGAGAAGCATTTGAAAATCTTATTCGAATGCCTAGACCACTACAGCCTATGTATCAACGTTTCCAAATGCTCATTTGGAGTAAACACATTAGAATTTCTAGGATACGAAATTAACTCTACTGGAATCAGCTAAGATAAAAGTAATTGAAAATTACACTGAATCCAAATCAGACACAAGCCTATAGCGCTTTTTGGAAATGGTAAATTTTTTCAATAGATTTATACCTGACTGCGCCTGCCTTCTAAAACCATTCACTCACATGTTAGTGGTCACAAAAAGAATAGTTCCAAGCCGTTATCCTGGACAGAAGCTGGAAAATTATCCTTTAGTAAATTGAAACAGGCCTTATGTAATGCAACCTTGCTGACCCATCTAGTTCCAGGGGCCGAACCCTCTTTGACTACAAATGCTTCTGAAATAGCAATGGGTGCTGTTTTACATCAAGAAGTAGACGGAATCAAACAACTTAATGTCCACAGAACAACTCCAAGAAAAAAGAAGCAACAATCATAATGTTCGGTCTTACCTTCCAAATAATAATATAGAGACTTCCGGGTTTTTCTCTGGTGGGGGAGTGTGAAGCAGACACATTTATTTTATAAATAATTAGTAACCATTTTGTAACCTTGATTTTTAATACCAACACATATTTTTTAAGTTACTTTGGGTTGTTAATGTTTGTTGTTCATAATTTTCTGTTTTCCTTGTGTTCTATTAAAGTGGTTAAAAAGAATTATTTTATTAACTGCAGTACCAATTGACCGTAGGGAGATGTGGGCAACATAGTGATTCCAGGAGAGGGTTTGGTCTATGAAAATGCCTAGGCTTTTTACTGAAGAGCTGAAGGTGATGAGATGGTCATTTAGGTACAGGATAGGAATGTTGGTATTGGATCTGAAAAGAGGTTCAGAACCAATGACAATGGCTTAAGTTTTGGCAGCATTTAAGCTTAATCCATTTATGTTGGCCCAGTCACTGATCCGATTTAAGTCTTCTTGAATTTTGGATAACGCTTCATGCAACTTTGAGGGAGAGAAGGAAAGGTAAATTTGGGAATAATCAGCATAGAGGTGATGTAACAGAAAAGGATTGATTAATGCAGCTCGTTGATATAAGAACTAAAAAGATGAGCAGATTTGCTAGTGCTCTGGGCCACTCCTGAGGTCACAGTAAGGTAGGAAGACAAAGGTTAATTAGGAATAGTGACTGCTTGGATACGATGAGAAGGGAAATATTGAAACCAAAGGATAAAACTGTTAGGAAAGATAACGATTTTAATTTGGAAAAAAACATGGAATTGGTTAATGGTATCAAAGGCTTTGGAAAAGCCTAGGAGTACAAGGACAGTTAGTTTTTGGTCATCTATGGGGGATTGAACATCACTAATGATTTTTATTAGGGCGGATTGTGTGGAGTAACCTAGTCTAAAACCAGATTGCAGAGGGTCAAGTTGATTGGATTGTTCGAGGAAATTCAGGGTGTCCAGCAATTCACTTCCAAAAAATTCCCATACATTTCCCGATTTTCCTAAATTTCCCTGTTGTTTTTTTTCAGATTTTTAAGTTTCTCCATAAATACCTCTGTTTTACACGAGGAGTTTGTTTTCATAAAAGATTACATCGGTTTATTAAAAAAAAGTATTTTTTTATTTTTACAAGTTTTTAATGTTTATTTTCATAAAATTAGATGTAATTGTATCAAAACCATTTAGATCTTCTAAAAATCAATATCAAAAGATTAAATTTCCTATCAAAAGTGGTTCTATAGAACCTTTTTTGATCAGTTCTGGGGCATTTTTGAAAATGAATGAAATCGGTTTTGAAACTAAACGCCTCAAATAAACAATATGAGCACAGCTGCCTAAAGTGTCATTTAAGCTCTTATTATAACCTATACTCATGTAACACTTATTATTTTATTTTATGAAAAGTATATTCGAGTACTGGTCTGCATATATATATATATATATGGGTGCTCTGGAAACGTTCCATATATAAATTTATTATTTTTTTTTTTAAAGAGAGTCCTTTTATATCAAATAGGTTTAGTATTTAAATTGAGATTTTTTTTTATTCTCCCGCGGGGAGGGCAGAGGATTTTTTTAAATATTTGTTGGCCTTAAGCACATCGACCCCTACTGGGTCCATTGTGCGCCAATTTCAGTTAGTCGTTTTGTTTAAAACGTTAATCCTGTCGCTTCCGCGTATCTAAGTAGGCTGATTGGATTGACCGACTCATATCTTCTGGGGAGATCCATCTGTTCCTCCCCAAATACCACCAGTCTCAGCCTTATAAATCTATCACATCTGCATATGATGTGAAAAGCTGTTTCATTCTCCTCCTGACAGAATCTGCATAGCGGATTCGTCATTACTTGGAGATTGAACATATGATTATTTAACTTACAGTGACCTGTATAGATAGCTGTAAGCTTTTTAAGGGCTGCTCTGTCCATGTTCAGTAGCTGTTTACTTCTTTTTTTACATGGACCTTCAAGGAACAGCTTCGAATGTCTCTGTTTCTTGTCGGTCCAGTAATAACTAAATTTGTTCCCATAGATCTCCCTGATCCTGCCCTTGGCAGTACTGAGGCTGATTCCACAGACAGGCTCGGGAGTTACAGGAATGGTATCTGAGCCCAATCTGGCTAGCTCATCAGCTACCTCGTTGCCTGGTATGCCAGAGTGACCTGGCACCCACTCCACTGCAACTCTGTTGTGCTCAGTTAGCTCGTTAAGTGCTCTATTGCATTCCTTAACGACCTTTGAATAAACATAATAGTTGTCAAGAGCACCTATTGCTGCCTGACTGTCAGTATAGATGGTAATCTTTTTCTCAGTCACATTGGTTTGCAGTAGGTTTTGTGCACAGTAGCAGATTGCCAGTATCTCAGATTGAAACACTGAAGCATACCTGCCAAGTGGTATAGAAATTTTTTCTTTTATATCTTTGCGATAGATGCCTGCTCCAGAGCCGAAGGCTGTTAGAGAGCCATCTGTATAGCAATTTATTCCACTATTTGGTTTATGACTTCTGCTGCTATCTATCCCAACCTTATATTTTCGGTCCTGATATGCTCGGATTAGAGTGTCAGAGTGCATAGCTAGTACTCCTTCACATTTAATCCTGTTCAGCAGTATTGTGTGTCCTCCCTGACAAGGGACTGGTGAACAGTAAGTTGACTTGCTTAACCTGTACAATGTATTTGTTGCCCGAGCCTCCACCTCCAGCTGCAGCGGAGGCATGCTCAGCATCACCTCCATGGCAGCCGTCGGTGTCGTGCTCATCGTGCCTGTTATCATTATACAAGCAAGCCTTTGAATCTTTCCTAATGAGGATAAGTTGGCCACAGTCTTTGCTTTGTGCCACCATAGCAAAGCTGAGTAAAGTATGATAGGTCTGACTGTCGTTGTGTACAGCCAGTATACCATTTTTGGTTTTAGTCCCCAATTCTTTCCTATCGCTCTTTTACAGGCCCATAGGCATTTGAGGGCTTTACTTGTCACGTTTTGAACGTGTTTAGTCCATGACAGTTTATGGTCCAAAGTGACTCCAAGGTGTTTTACTTCCTTACTCAGTGTCAATTGCACTTATTTTAAGGAGTCAAAAAGGAAAATGAGCCTAAACAGGAATGGATCTTGATGGGTATTACATTTCCCGGCATCTCCTTTCTTGTAAAGGTAAAAACCACAGACCTTTCATATCATTTTCTAATATACTTATTGCCTATGTACGCGCAAAACTGTGCGAAGCAGTTCGGTTTCATCCTTTCCCTCTTTGTGCAGAGAGAATAATGCATCAATATTAAAATTTCATATATATATTTTTTTAATGCCATTATTTATATTTGCGCATATTTACTAGTTGTATTTGTATACAGTTGTAAATTCCATTAAATAAAAAAAAATATATATATATTTTTTTATGATATGGTATAAATTCCGAACAATTTATTCCGTAATTTTTGAACAATAACGAGCTATAACTAATATGAGATTCCTTAAAAAATTTTTTGCAAATGCTACTAAACAGAAGGAGAGCAATGAGCTATAACTTTCTCGATATACCTCTTTATATCCTGCTTCAAAGTGAAGATAGTCCTGATGGGCACCTTCAGCAATCGAAAATAAAGTGGTTTTCACCATAATAAACCTATATCGTCCACTTAATATCATCCAACCTGCAATTGACCCCCTTTTAGCAGCATCTTGAAATATTCTGTTGTGACCAATAATGGTTTTGAATAACAGCTTATTCACATTTCTGTTCTCTAGGTTGTGAAGTTCCCTTGACTTTTAGGATTTTCTAAATAACATTCAGACTATTCTCAGATTTTTCCATGTATTCCAGTACCAGTAGACACTTCGCTTTTAGGAAGTCCACATCATGGACCTTTTTGGATGTTTAGGGGCATTTAGCATAACTAGGACTAAGGCAGTTTATAGATCCCTAATTGAAATGTCTGCTCTTGAAAAGCTAGAAAGATGGATTAAATTTGATCAAACTCAAAGGCATAAGAGTTTAGACATAAGCATTTACAGGACAGCCCTAGGAAACTGGGTCTTATCACTGTTCTGGTGACTAATGATATGATAGACAGCCTTCTAAAATAAGTAGAGAAAACTGGCCTTCATGTTCAGGCCTTGGGGCATATAATGTGATATATTCATCAAAATAAGTGCATTGATATATATGAATGAAAGCACCAAAATTTAACTATTGGTTTTGGGGACAATCTTGGATCCAAAACATACCTGAAGTATGAATAAGACAAAAATTAATGAAAGAGAACTATTGCCTTTTGGTACATTAGAAGAATGGTAAACTAGTTTTCATCAAATCTATTGGATTTATATGGCTTTCAAAAACTGACAATACAATAAGGGGCAAGAGTGAGAAGAAGATTAATAAATAGGAATTTCTAGGAACAAACTCTCATCCACAACTAGGATAGATCTCCAGAGCATTCCAAATCATACAAACTAAAATAATAGCGATATTATTCTAGCTTAAAATGATTTACATATGATTAAAAAGAGAGGTGATTAGGATTATTAGTATACATAAGAATTAAAGACAATATACAGAGATAGATTAAATTTAGATTAAGATAATATAAGAAGCATAACATATCTACTTATAAGTAAATTAAGGTAAATTCATAATAGTGTGCCAACAAATATACTCAAATTATTTAGATTAACAGAAATGGAAATATATTTTCAAAAGTAGACAGATTCAAATGCATTATCTTCACAACAACCTCAAGGAAAGATCAACTTACCATTTACAAGTGTACTGCATAATAAGCAAAACTATAACAATCTTCTATTTCCAGTTAATTGCTTCATTATTAATTTTTTTTATAATTACAATTACTATTTATTATTAATTTTTTTGGATATATTTATAAGGAAGATTGATAATAAAAGATATTTCCTACCTTCTTTAATTTGCCATTGTAGGTCACTAATGGTATAGTAATAGCTGAAGCATTCGTAGAAACTTCTAGGGAAGAATCAATTTTAATTTGAGATATATAAACTTCTTCTTGTAAAAACAGCAAACCAATATCTTTAGTTACCCCAGGCATAATTACTGTCAATGTAAAATTAATGATCTGAAAAAGAAATTTAGTTAAACCAGCCGTTTATAAAAATGTTATACTTTTTTAGCTAAAACTGCAAACATTTTTTCATGAAATAAAATCAAAAACACTATTGTTCTAGAGAGTCCTAAAGAACTCCAGTTTACCTTGGTTATGATTAATTGGTTTACCTTAGCAGTTAAAAATAATGTGACATCTTAAGAACCTAAGACCTCGCCCACAATGACACAGTAACCCTTGCACCTCAAAAATAAATAAAAAAATCTGTTGCAGTGCGTGCATCACACTAATATAATGAATTTAATCAAAATAGTTTGAGCTGTTTTAGAGAAAATTGTAAAAATGTGTAAAATTTATGGTATAAAGTGGCACTTCCGGTTTACCGATTTTAACAAAAAAGTTGGTGTAACGAATTTTAAATACGCAACTTCAGTTGCATACTGTCTGGGAAGTAGCTCAGGGCGTCCATGCCCTATTTGTCGATTTCAAAGCAGCCTATGGTTCTGTGGACAGGAACTGTCTTGACTGAACTGGGAGTTCCCAGTAAGTTGGTAAGATTGACAAAGACATGTACAAATTACCCTAAATGTCGAATTCTAATACAATTATCTGAAGCCTTCAAAGTTCGAACGGGCTTACAGTAGGAAGATGGACTATTAGTGATGTTTTTTAACTTAGCACTGGAGAAAGTGATAAGAACAACACCATATGAAAATGGAGTAGTCCACATCGAATGAATCATAAAATCCTTAGATATGCAGATGATATAGCTGTCCTTGGAAGTAATCAAGAGGACATTCAGAAACTTGCTAAGACTCTGAAAAGAGAAGCAGAGCAAATTGGTTAACAAGTAAATGAAGACAAAACTAAATATATGATAATAAGATCTCAATAACAGGATCTGTGTCGAAGGAAATCGTTCCTAAGAGTAGAAAAATCCAAATACCTCGGCTTAACAATAAACTCAATCAATGGCCAACGGTTAGAAAAAGAGCTGTGTATAACAGTTTTCTTCTCCCTTTCAAAAGTACTGAAATCCAGAAAAATCTCAAGAAATCTCAAATTAAAGGTATATAGTGAATGAATGAATGAAAATAATTTTATTATTCTGGGACTAGTGTCCCTTTAGAACAAGTTACAAATACAGAATATATATTAATATTTTATTGTGTCCATAAAATACAGTTTATTATTTACAGGTTGATTAGGATTACAATAAAGTTATTGCAATAAGATTGGATGAACAGGAGATAAAATGAGTGTTGAGATGTCAGCTGAAATAGAGGTAGTCTGGGTTTGGGTGGATTTGCCAAAGGATAATTTACGGAGGATTGCCCACATAGCTTTGGAGTTTGGTGTGCTGGATAAGGACTGTTGGTAGTAGTGGGATATGGCACGGCGTATCATGGATTGCGTACTGTTTCGAAGCAGCTTGAAATTCATGTAGTCTTCGGGGAGTCGAGTGCACTTAAACCTTTGTCTTGCTGCGTCTCTTCGTTTGATACAATTTTATATCGCAGGCGTCAACCATGGGGCTGGTGGGTACTTGATTGTTGTGCCTTTAAGAGGAGCGTGATGGTCTAGGATAATGTGCAGTTGATTGGTTAAGGTTTCTACTATAAAATCAATGGAGTTAGAAGAGTATATGGAGTCCCATTGGATTGCATCAAGAACGGGCATAAAAGTTTCGGGTGATAGGAGATTAAGCTTTCTGAAAGATATAGATTGGGGACTAAATAGAGGAACAGGAAGGTTATAGGAGATCTGTATGAGATCGCGAGCAGACAAAAACGGAACTGGGTGCTGTGATGAGGTGAGGAGTTTATCAGGAGAGTCAATAATGCAAAGACCGAGCAAAGAGTCTGAGTATTGGGTGTGATGGGTAGGGTTGTACGGAACTATATACAGATTGAGAGAGTAGAGGAGGTTTGATAAATAGGCTTGGTCGGAGGAAGGAAATAACAGGTTAATATTGAAATCTCCGAAAAGAGCAATATTGGAGTAGGAAGGGCTCAGTTCGTAGAGGATGGTCTCGAGTGTTTTATCAAAGGTGATTCTAGGAGGTTGGTAGATGACACCAATGAGCAATGAATATGAGGAGGTGGATATTTCAGCAAAAAGATATTCGATATGTGGGGAGACGGAGAGAGGAGACAAAGCAAGGATTTTGGATTTTAGGCTATCATGAACAAAAATGGCTACTCCGCCTCCAATTCTATTTTCTTTATCATGATGGAGTAGGGTATAGTAAGGGAGTAAACTTGAGAGGATGTGACTGTGTGTTTTAACTAAGTTTCTAAGACAGCGATTAGGTGGTAGAAGTTGTGGAGGAAGAAATCTTGGAATTCAACTATGTGGGCTAAAAGTGACTGTGCCTTTACATGACAGGATAATAAGACATTAGCTATAGGAGAAGGTAGACTGGGATAGAGAATCGGTAGGAGGGGCGAGAGATATGGAAATAATTAGATTGGATTGATCTGAGATACACCGTGGATGCTGAAACATAAATAGCAAAACTATTGAAAAGTAGAAACTAGAAAAAATAGGTAAAAGAAATAATCTAGATAGTATCCTATAATCAATAGAGATAAGAAACAAAAAAACAGTAGATACAAACAGAAAACGGAAATATACTCTGGTGAACAATGAGCAATAATAATAATAAAATTGGCTGCAATATACACATTGGTGCTGTAATAAGGCCAGTTCTGATATACTCTAATATACACCTTCCTTGTAATTAGTGTAAAAATAGTTTGGTAAAATAACAAGAGAGTGTTAAGATGCGGTTAACAGAACATTAGAAAGTATTTAAATATAAGTGAATTACAGTGCCACAAAGGAAGAGACAGTGTATATAAAAAAATTTAGCTTGGCAATTCATTCTTGACTTTATTTTTAAATCAAACAGTGTTAAAATAAGTTTATCTGAGTCTTTTGATCTGATTGTTAGTATCCCACACCTTGTGATAAAATAATTATAAATTTCAGTTTAATAGATCAATATTCATATAATTTTGTTTTTTATTTAACAACCTCTTATTTCTTTTGGAAGTATCGCTACAATATGAAGTGATCTTCCACAGTTTTGTTATTAGTAAAAATAAAAGATCTTACAATACATCTGCGAGACCTGGACAATGACTAGCACCCAAGAAAGAAGTATTGAAAGATTTGAGGGAAAACTCCTCTGCACAATAACAGGAGCGATCTGGGATCAGAATACTAATGCATAAAGAAGAAGGACCAATAAAGAGCTCTTTACAGAAACTGGTGAATCGATATCTCATTATATGAAGGCACGGAGGTTAAGATGGATGGGGCATGTAGCTCGGGTCAATCCTTCTGGTAGTCTCTATATAGCAATGAATACCTCAATAGAAGACAAAAGACAACATGGAAGGCATAAAAGCAGATGGATAGATCGAATCAACAAAGATGGAATAGAGCTGTACGTAGATAATTGGAAAGAAATAGCCCAAGAGAGGCAGAGATGGAATAGGCTTGTTAAGGCAGCGAAAGGTCTGTACTGCCAACAGAATAATAAAATTATATATTTTTGGTATGTGTGAGTGGGTATGTATAAAATGAAAATGAAAAATAATTTTATTCTGGGACTGAAGTCCTCTTAGAACAATAGTAGGGTTTACAGAATATATACCTTAGCCTGGTATGTAAGTATTATACAAATATATACAAAAAATACCTAGGAAATTGTAAGCACACACATATATATATATATATATATATATATATATATATATATATATATATATATATATATATATATTCACACAAAGATACTAAGAGAAATACAAACATATATATAAAAAAAAAAATTAATAAAAGTACCAAGGAAAATATATATATCTACAAAACATAATAATGATATACACAGATATATACAATAAAATACTGAGATATAAAAAATTAATAAATAAAAATAAAATGACTTTAATCAATTAACTGCTGGTGGCCAACGTAATTATATGACCCAGAAATTTTTACAAGCTGAAGTTTGAATTTGTAGTAGGTGGTGGAATAGGAGTTGTTTGAAGGAGTTTATAGATGTGGCTTGACTATGGAGATGGGTAAGGAGTTCCATAAGGAGATAGCACGAATGACGAAGGATTTACTGAAGAAAGTGGTTTTATGAGAGGGAATATATAAATCTATAGGTTCAGATCTGATATTGAGAAAGTGGATAGAGGAGCTTAAAGTAAGGAGCTCTAAGATGTAGGGAGGGTTTTTGCTTCTGAGAACTTGAAAAAGGAAAACACCAAGTAGGAATTGCCGTCGGGAAGTAAGATATAGCCACTTCAACTCGTTGTACCAACAAGAAATATGAGAACGCTCGGGAATCCCAAATATGAATCTTATGAAGCAATTCATAATTTTCTTCAGTCTCGCCTCCATTTCTGTGGACAGCCCTCCATACACCAGGCAACCGTAGTCGAAGTGGGGGAAGACAAGGGATTTTACTAGGAGCTGTCTGGTTTTTTTGGAATGGTATCACGGAATCAAAGGAATTGTTTAAGGATAGTTATGGATTTATGGGTAATCTGGGAAATGTGGTTGTTCCAAGAGAAGTTCTGATCAAAGATCACTCCAAGATTTTGACTGTCGGAAAGAAATGGATGGGACGGTTATTTAGGTAAAGCAAAGGCGAGAAAGAAAGGGAACTAATGAGGTGCTTAGAGCCAATTAGGATTGCCTTGGTTTTGTCTGCATTCAACTTTAGTTTATTTTTTTCTGCCCACCTATACAGTCAATATCCTCTTATAGTTTTCGGATATCCTCGGGTGCCTCAGTTGGTTGGAACGATAAGTAAATTTGTAGATCGTCTGCATATAAGTGATAATGGGAATGACTAATGAAGTCAGGAAGGTCGCGAATACAAATGGAGAACAGAGTTGGAGAGTAAGGATCCCTGAGGAACATCTTGTGTTAATTGAACAGAGGAGGAAGGAGATATGAATAACTACTGTCTGGGAGCGATGGGATAAAAAGGAGAGGAACCATTTCAGAATGCTATTCAATATAGGTAGGCTTTGGAGTTTGGTAATGAGGATATTATGATTGACGGAGTCGAAGGCTTTTGAAAAGTCAAAAAGGACTAGGATGGAGATTTTCTGTTTGTCTATGAATGATTGGAGGTCTTCGGTAATCTTTAAAAAGGCAGATTGGGTAGAGTATTGGGAATGAAAAAAAGATTGTAGAGGATTGAGGAGACAGTTTTGCTCTAGTAAGTTGTTCAACTGAGAGTGAACTAATCTTTCTAGAGGCTTGGACAAATTGGATAAAATGGAAATGGGTCTGAAGTCGGATACCAGTGAAGGAGCTGGGACTTTGTTCAACGGCCGTACTATGACTTTTTTCCAGGCTTTTGGAAAAATGGAATTTTGGAGGGAAAAATTGTAGATGTGTAGGAGTATAGGAAGTAAGTTTGGTAGGCAGAGTTCAATGATTTTCATAGGAATTTGGTCAGGACCATAGTCGTTGGTTTTGGATTTAAGGATAGAAGAGAGTAGGTCAGTTGGAGAGATATCAAGAAAAATAAACTTATCTGGGTCAAAGGAAGTTTCAGTGATGGGATAAGGTACAGGGTCAGATGTAAATACAGAAGTAGGATGGTTTGCAAAAAAGGTATTTAGTTCATTCGGATCTATTGGATAAAGTGTGCAGGTTTTGGAGCTTATGAGAGTTTCCTGAGGATTGTCCATTTGGATTTAGGGTTAAGTGCTTGGGATAGTACATTTTTGAAGTATTAAGCTTTGGCCCAGCATAAGAATATTTGTGTACTATTCATAGGGATTTGAATATAGTATAGTGTTGGGGTAGTTGTGTATGTCTGTATCGTCTTCAGGCAGCCTCTCTTCCTCTCATCTCTCTGATTTCTGAATTTATCCAAGGAGCAGGAGGAGATCTAAAAGTACAGGTTTTGAGGGGAGCGTGATGGTGTCTGAGTTATTTCTTGTTTCCGGCACGGCACACCTCTTCGATGTTTATGAGACCTCTCCTACCTTCCTTTATTGGTAAATAAAGCCTTGCCATAGATGCAGTCGGGTGATGCATTCTGTATTTAGTCATACTCGTCCATATAAATCTATCCAATTCCTTGAGTGATGTTGTAGACCATTTTAAAATTCCAAAACTGTAAGATATGGCTGGTATAACCCATGGACTTACAGCTTTGATTTTTGAACCTGAGAATAGTTATGTTGCAAGAATAATTATCAATCTCTTTATTATTATTAATCCTGTCTCTCTGAATTGTATAAGATAGAAGGTAAGTCAGTTTAGAATCAACAGATGGTATTGCTGAAGGGTAAGGTGTCCGACTCTCACGCTGGAGACTTGAGTTAAAATCCTAATTCAAAGAATTTTTTTTGTTATTTTAAAATTATTTTTATTACCAGTTTTGTTTTTTCTTCCGTATTATTCATTTAGTTTTTTTTATTGACCCCATTTGAAGACAATAATTAAATCCATATGTGCTTGTTTTAGGTGAAAAATTTTTAATATTATAAAATAGGTGTGCATGTGTTCTTTTTAATTTATTTATTTTTAGGTTATTTTATTCTTGTTTATTGTATATATATTATTTTTCTGTATAATTTATTTTATTTACTGTACATAGAGTGTGAATGTGATCTGTGAACACTATTATTAATGTCCCTGAGACAGATTGTAATATATTTCAATAAATAAGCTATTAGAAAAAAAAAATTATAAAATAAGGCTGTGTTTTATTTCTTCACCATATTTATTTCAATTTACATAGCTAGGTTTCGGCCGGTAAGCCATCTTCAAGCCATTTTATCCAACCATGCTTTTTCCATGTAGTCCAAAGTCAATCAATCTACATGCAAAAAGCATGGTTGGATAAAATGGCTTGAAGATGGTTTACCGGCCGAAACCTAGCTATGTAAATTGAAATAAATATGGTGAAGATATAAAACACAGCCTTATTTTATAACAATAATTAAATTTTTGGAATTATATACATTTTTTTCTTTTTAATTGAAGCAGATAATTTAAGGTTTCAATATTATCCAGGTATAACAAAAATAGTGTGATGTCCGACAAAATCTTAAGAAGTATTAATTAATGATTAAAATTATCTTTCCTAAAAAATTCTTTTTTTAAGTAATCGTACATCACTCGTTTTTATTTTAATGCAAATAAAAAAATCAGTAAGGCCATATCACACTGTCCTTATCGCAGAGAGCAGGTCGCCATAAATAGTCTAAGAATATGTCATACAAAATTTAACACATTTATATCTTATCAGCAAACAGCCACCACCAATATGATAATACTGCAATAACCCTCTCACTGTCAATCATATTTTCCATAAATGCCCTTATTACACCTCAAGCTTAAATAGATCACCTATGAGACCAGATATATCAGTAATATTAAACAGTGATGAATTTTTTTTTATTATTTATTTGTTTATTGATAAATATTACAATCTGTCTCAATAAAGGACATTTATAATAGAGCACATTCACACCATATTTACAAATTAAAAAAAAAAAAGCTAACTTCAAATAATATAAAGCTACAAAAGAACAAAATAAAGTATCATAGTGAAGAAAGAAAATATAAATAATAGTAATAATAGAATGAAAATAAATGAATAAAATAGAATTAAAATTATCTTAAAAAAAAAAGTAATGAAAATAAACATCTTAGATGCAGGCATACCTACTTACACTATTTACAGTCAGCCATGGGAACTCCGAACCATACTTATCCCCCCACATGTGGAGGGAAAGCAAGGCTTCAGGAGATCCCTGCGCTTCTTCCTCAACCATTTCACTGGTATTGAAAGCCAGGGAAGATTGAATAAGGGCGCTACAACCACCGACACTCATGACTTGAATGGAGAATCTGGCCATTGCCAGAACTCCAATATATACATGTTACAAAAGGTCACGGGGCCACTGCCGTTTTAGCCTGCGAGGAGGATTGTAGGGATGAGTGGTGTTAGATAGAGATTGTGCTACGGGATTAGGGTGATGGGTAAGGTTCTGATCAAATTTGGAGAATTTGTCTGGGATAAGATCAAGAATAAATGGAATATTAAGGTAATTGTGCAGGGTTTTATTGGAAACATAGAAGGGAGCATCGACTATTGTACGGAGGACTTTGGACTGGAAGGATTGAATGCGTAGTGATGAATTAAATATAAAAACAGTAATAAATTTTCTTAAAACCCATAAGCTAGTGAACAAAATATAGAAATGCATTTAATTTTTATTTTATTTATTTAATTATTATTTTTTTCCTCTTATCTAATGAATTTCTGAATTCCAAAGAACAAAAATAAATTAATCACATTTTTTTTTTATCACAGAGTTTATGAATCTGCGGGTTTATGCCTTAAAGCCCAAACAAACAAACAAACTGTTTTTGTTTTTTTATTTGCTATGGTCAAATGGTTCCAACTAACTCTCTTTTGTTTCAGTTTTAAATAAAATCTCTTGGACTGGTAAGTATGCTGTGTGATTTAGCAACTCAACACATATGAGCAGCCATGCAATATAATTGTAGTTCTCTGTGGAGCCAATTTTGACCAAATCTATTTAACAATTATATATATATATATATATATATATTAGTAGAAAATATTTGTGATTTGAAAAATTTGGAAACAGTCATCAGGACCAGAAGACTGAGGTTCTACAGGCACAAGGTCAGGATGAATAGTGAAAGACTGAACAAGAAAATGTTTGACAAAGTTTGCAGCTATAAAAGTATGGGGGAATATGTAAAACAAATAAAAGAGGAACTAGGCAGGCTAAAAATCACGGATAAAGATTGCTTGGAAAGAAAGAGTTTTAGGGAAAAACTGAAAGGGGTTGGGGTTCTTGTAGGTGGGAGGGAGAGAAGAGGTAGAAGATGGACTAAGGAAGAGTGAGAGGAACAGTCCAGGAGGATGAGAGAGTATTGCAGTAAGAGGAAGGCTGAGGGTGTGAAGAGGAAACTGAAATGATATTCCCATGGTCCTTGCTGGTCAGTTCATGTAACAAAAAAAAAAAAATTCCGAAAGGGTGTGAGAATTTATCTCCCAATACTGTATGAGTATAAATAATAAAAACACATAAAACTAATACACATATCTGCTTTACCTCAAAATATGGTGCTGCTGAATGGTGAAGAGAAATATTAGTAATTGCGATGGGTACTTCAAAATTATTCTTTATAGTTATTGGTCGTACTTGTTCACTTTCATCCAGTTTAAATTTAGCTTGACTGCAGTTATATTCTAAACCTCCATTGAGTACTTCAGCTTTATAAGAAATAATCAGTTTTTGGCCACTATAATTGCTTTTGACCACGATTTTACCAGATATTAAACCAGTAACACGAACAGATTTCCCTGTAAGTATTGTTAGTTATATTAAAGTAATAAAATCTATTTAAATTCTAGTGTTCAAAAAATATATCAGATATAATGATTTTTCAAGCAATAAAATAGAGAGAATACCAAAACGAACTTTGTATATGTTGATCCATCTAAAATTACTACAGAATAAGAATTATTTCTTGTTCTATAACTATAATTAGTAAATAATCTTAAATACAGACGTTAAATGTACAAAAATATAATTAGTAAATATATCTTAAATACAGATATTAAATGTACAAAACTAAATTAACAGAAAATGTAATTTATAAAAGAGCCTGATTGACACATAAATAATATGTATCATTTATATGAATATAGATTTTATTTAAATAAATATATCAAACAAATAATAGTTATTAAGTCAATGAGCTAAAGGCGTAGGGAGTTGACGGCCCCATCACCTGGTCATTTGACCGCAATCAGCCACTGGCCCTCCAGGTTGGGGGGAACAACTACACTGACACCCACACAGTACACTACCACAGCACTCAAACACAAAGGACACCTACAGTATACACTATGGGTGCCCGGATGGGGAAGCAGGCCAGGCGAGATGAGCGCATGTCTACGTTAGCAACTGGAGGAGCACTGCTCACTACCACACCCAATAACAGAACATAACTCACAAAGGTCACTCCTGGTGACTGGTGACTGGATGGGACTGTGATGCACGGACCAGAGTTGCTCCTCCGAGGCCACTGGACTCTACTCTCGAGGGACACGTTCTTACAGAAGGGGGGTTGGGGCTGGGACGGCAGTATACCTACACTTACACCATACATTTACCACAAGAGACAATTATACCTACAATTACTACCGATGGAAACTATAGATGATGAGCAGCCTGAAGTGCCAGCTGCAATGGAATTAGCGGCGGATCAGTCCTCCTAGACTGCACAAGATTCATAAGAAATGAAGGAGGGAGCTGGCAGGAAGTTAAACCCAGACATGACAGAGTGGTGCGGCCATACCAGCTCCCATCTAGTCCTTTAAGCCAAAGGGTGGACTCTGACACAGAGTCCACTCTACTTAGGACTATGTCGACCTGGACAGATCAAGGAGCGATGCAAAGACAGTCCTCTCCTGGAAGGGTTTCAAAGAAAGAAGCCGAGAAAATAAAAAAGGCCAAATTAAAAAAGAAGCTATACAGCAAAAAGAAAAGGCAAGCGGAGGCAATTAAAAGGCAAGCCGAATGAGTGGCCATTAAAGAGGGGCGTCAAATGCCTATCTCTGATCTGGCTACCCATAGACAGCTTAATTCATCAGGGAGTACCATGGGTCGTTCCCCCCTAATTAAACAAGAGAAGAACTTCCCCAGAACTCCCTTAGATCCAATACGGGAAGGGGGAGAAGAGGCTGGTCCTTCTAGTACCCCTTCTCGGGCTAGACAGGTACAGGCGTCCTCTTCAAGGGCCAACCCTGCCATCAAATACACAAAAATACCTGCCCTTTCGCAACCACAACTCCTGCCTCCAATCCGACTCCCATGTTTTTTTCTCTTTTAATCCTGATCATTTCTTTTTTTCCCACATCACCCCTGATGATCTCCTAAACTCCATTCAGAAATCCCATACCAATGATTATGGTCCCGATAACATTCCAGTCAGACTGATCAAATCCGCACTACCATCCATTCCTCCGATCCTTTATCATATCTATAATTATTCTCTTCAAAATGCTACCTTCCCTACATTCTAGAAAACCGCCCTAGTACGCCCTTTCAAGAAGACCTCTAACCCATCAGCTCTTAATGATTTCAGTCCAATTTCCCTTCTTTCAAACCTCTCAAAACCTTTAGAGCGACTAGCCCAACCCCAGCTATCCCATTTTTTAGAGCACAATAATCTCCTAAACCCCAACCAGTCCGGCTTCAGGCCTGGCTACTCTACTCAGTCTACCCTAATCAAAATTTCCCAAGACATTCATACAGCCATAGATCAGCAGAAACTAACCATCCTTATTCTCCTTGACTTCTCTAAAGCTTTTGATTCAGTAGACCACAACATCCTCCTAACCAAACTTCAAAATATCTCCTTTTCCTCTAGTGCCGCATTGGCTCCAATCCTTTCTTATATTATAATTCCTACTTCCAACCTTGTCAATATACTTGATACACATGCTTCACTCAAAAATTCTACCTGCTGTCACTGCCCAACTCCCTGGATGTACCATTAAATTAAGGATCTTCAGAAGAGGCGTGATGCTGCATAGATACTTTACACGTAGTAGGCCTGCTGACAAAGGATCAATCAGATAAACTTTCCCAAAGATTTCCATCCATTATCAATCTTTTCCAACCTTTTAAAACCCTTGAAAAGACTATAGCAATGCCAAGTTTCCTATTTCATTGAACAGTCCAATCAACTGGACGCTTAACAATCTGGTTTTGGACCTGGTTCTCCCCACAATCTGCCCTAATAAAAATCATCAGTGATGGTCAGTCCGCCATAGATGAGAAAAAATTAACTGCCTTTGAACTTCTTGCTTTTTCCCAACGCTGTGATACCATTAACCATTCCATTCTTTTTCCAAACTAAAATCTTAATACTTTTCTCTATCTATCTTTTGGTTTCAATATTTCCTCTTTCAATATGCCCATGCAGTTGCTATTCCTAATCAATTTTTGTCTGTATATCTTACTCTGTCCTCAGGAGTGGCCTAGGACCCTAGCATATCTCCTCTTCTTTTTAGCTACTATATCAATATCCTTCACTGTTCCCATCACTTCAATGCCAATGATTCATAGATATATTTATATTTCTCTTCCTCCAAGTTACATGGAATGAAATGAAATGAAAATAACTTAATTATTCCAGGACTAGTGTCCCTTTAGAACAAATTATAAATGAATGAATGAATGAAAATAATTTTATTATTCTGGGACTAGTGTCCCTTAAGAACAAGTTACAAATACAGAATATATATTAATATTTTGGTGTCTCCATAAAATACAATTTAATATTTACAGGTTGATTACAAATGCAATAAAGTTATAAATAATAAAAAGATATAAATACGTGTAAATATAAAATATACAGAGAAAATAATTAAGTAATCGACATATCGATGAATCACAAAATAATCAGAGTATCTGGGTGTACTTTGAGGTTTTTACAGCTTAGATTTTTAAGTGCATTTTGTGATCAATCGGATTGGGAATGGAGTAGGTGTTTGAAGAGGAGAGATTTGAAATAGGATTTTGAGTGTCGAATATCTGAAGGTATAGAGTTCCAGAGGAAGACAACTTGTATTAAAAAGGATTTATCAAACGCAGCAGTTCGGTGAGGAGGATAGAGGTCGGACGCACGGGATCTGGTGGGAGGGGATTGAAAGGAGTGTTTAAATTGTAGGATCTGTAGAATATAGGCAGGTGGTCGTGTTCTAATGGCTTGGTATAGGAAGGTAGCAAGGAAATATTGACAACGGTAGGACGGATAAAGCCACTTCAACTTTGTGTAGAACTGGGTAATATGAGTATCCCTTAAGATCCCGAAGATAAAGCGGATTGAGCAATTCATTAAATGTTTAAGTTTAGCTTCGAGTTCTCCCGAGAGTCCACCATACATCATGCAGCCATAGTCGAAGTGGGAGAAAAGAAGAGAGGAGACCAGGAGTTGACGGGTTTTGAACAGAAGAAGATAACGTAGATGGTTAAACTGTTTCAGGGTGGATATAGTACGGATGGAAATTTGGGAGATGTGTGGTTTCCAGGAGAGGCTTTGATCGAGGGTAACGCCTAGGTTTTTAACGGTGGTATGGAAGGAGATAGGTGAGTTGTTCAGAAGAAGATTAGGAGGTGCTGAAATGGATTTGAGGAGTGAGGGGGATCCGATCAGGATGGCTTTTGTCTTCTCCGTATTTAATGTCAGCTTATTAAGATTTGCCCATGCGCATATTCTATTGATGTCTTGTTGCAGTTTCAGGATGGCATTAGAGGAATCTGTCGGGTTGAAGGAAAGATAAATTTGGACGTCATCGGCATATAGGTGATATTGACAGTGTATGATAGAGGAAGGGAGGACATTGATTTAGATGGAAAAGAGGGTGGGGGATAATGAGGAATCTTGTGGGACGCTTCTGAACAGAGGTAGAGACATTGATTGAGGGTTATTAGGAACTACAACGTACTGGGAGCGATCGGTGAGAAAGGATTGGAACCACTTAAGAGCACTAGATGATAAGGATATTTTTATATTTTTAAGTTTCGTTAGGAGGATATTAAGGTCAACTGAGTCGAATGCTTTAGAGAAATCAAGAAGGATCAGGATGGTGAGTTTCTGTTGATCTATGGCTGTGTGGAGATCTTAATGAGGGCGGAATGAGTGGAGCAGTCTGGTCTAAAACCAGACTGGAAGCAGTTCAGATGTTTATTTTGTTCGAGATATTAGGATAGTTGAGATTTTACTATTCGTTCTAAAGGTTTGGAAAGGTTAGATAACAGGGAAATTGGACGGAAATCATTAGGGGTTGTGGGGTTAGAGATTTTGTTCAGAGGACGAACAAGAGCACTTTTCCAGGAGCTGGGAAAAGTGGAACTTTGTAGTGAGAAATTATAGATATGATAAAGGACTGGGAAAACGGATGGGAGTGAGGATTTAATTAATTTAACTAGGATATTATCTGGTCCGAAATCATTGGTTTGGGATTAGCAGATGGATTTAAGGAGGTCGTCAGGGGTAATATGCGAAAAGAAAAAATGATTGGGATTAAAGGGGGGGATGTATGAAGGGTGGAGCTGGATAAGAATTGTTTGAAGGTAGTAGTGGGATTTGGCACGGCGTATCATGGATTGCGTTTCGAAGCAGCTTGAAATTCATGTAGTCTTCGGGGAGTCAAGAGCGCTTAAACCTTCGTCTTGCTGTGTCTCTTCGTTTGGTACAATTTTTTATCACAGGCGTCAACCAAGGGGCTGGGGGTACTTGATGGTCCTGACTTTCAGAGGAGCGTGATGGTCTAGGATAATGTGCAGTTGATTGGTTAAGGTTTCTACCATAAAATCAACGGAGTTAGAAGAGTATATGGAGTCCCATTGGATTGCGTCAAGATCTGGTATCAAAGTTTCGGATGATAGGAGATTAAGGTTTCTGAAAGATATAGATCTGGGACTAAATAGAGGGACAGGAAGGTTATAGGAGATCAGTATGAGATCGTGAGCAGACAAAACGGAACCGGGTGCTGTGATGAGGCAAGGAGTTTATCAGGAGAATCAATAATGCAAAGATCGAGCCAAGAGTCTGAGTATTAGGTGTGATGGGTAGGGTTGTATGCAACTATTTACAGATATAACCACACAGACATACAATCTGTATTTATATTTTGTTCTAAAGGGACAACAGTCACAGAACAATAACATATTTTTTCATTTCATTTCATTAAGAGAGTAGAGGAGGTTTGATAAATAGGCGTGGTCAGAGGAAGGAAATAATAGGTTGGTATTGAAATCTCCGAAAAGAGCAATATTGGAGTAGGAAGGGCTCAGTTCGTAGAAGATGGTCTCGAGTATTTCATCAAAGGGGATTCTAGGAGGTCGGTAGATGACACCAATGAGCAATGAATATGATGAGGTGGATATTTCAGCAAAAAGATATTCGATATGTGGGGAGACGGAGAGAGGAGACAAAGCAAGGATTTTGGATTTCAGGCTATCATGGACAAAAATGGCTACTCCGCCTCCGATTCTATTTTCTCTATCGTGACGGAGTAGGGTATAGTTAGGGAGTGAAACTTGAGAGGATGTGACCGTGTGTTTTAGCCAAGTTTCTGAGTCAGCGATTAGGTGGTAGAAGTTGTGGAGAAAGAAATCATGAAATTCATCTATGTGGGCTAAAAGTGACTGTGCGTTGACATGACAGGATAATAAGACATTAGCCATAGGAGATGCGTAGATTGGGATAGTGAATCGGTAGGAGGGGCGAGAGACATGGAAATAATTAGGTTGGATTGATCTGAGATACACCGTGGATGCTGAAACATATATAGCAAAACTATTGAGAAGTAGAAACTAGAAAAAATAGGTAAAAGAAATAATCTAGATAGTATTTTGTAATCAATGGAGATAAGAAGCAAAGAAATAGTAGATCCATACAAACAGAAAACGAAAATATACTCTAGCGAACAATGAACAATAATACTAAAAAATTAACTGCAATATACACATAAACGAAATTGAATGAAATATTAAACTTATAACAGTTAAGTAAATAGAAGAAATTTGCTAGAAAATGAGGTAGTGGGTTGAAGGAACGAGAGCAGAGAAGTCAAGTGAAGAGGTCAAGGTCAGAAGGTGAATTTATGACAGCTACGACGGGCTGACCGTCGGTTCGTCTACACTTCACTTTGCCGTCATTAAACCAGACATATTTTGTTTTTCCAGCCGCTCTCTTCTGTCTTGCAAGCCAGTACAGGTGCCTGTTGGTCGATTTCAGAGCTTCTCCGATGAAAATTTTGTGAACATCGTTCTCCTGCCAGCCGATGTGAAGAGTAGATAAATCTTCACCAATTTCCGTTTATGAATCAACTCATCTCTTAGCGTTTGACGAACAAATCTGACCAATAGTGAACCAGGAGTGTTATCTTGCCGAGTTCTGATCCTCTCCATGCTGTCCACATCTTCCACCTTCAGGCTTAGTACTAGTGCTGCGCCCACACTCACTACTAGGCCCATTGGATTTTCACCAGGTCTCACCGGGATTCCTCTAACCTCTGCGGTTTTAACCAGGTGTTGTTGCTCGGATCTGTTTAGCTTGTTTATAAATGCTGAATATAAATAAATATATTAGTGTGTCCATAACTTTGATATTTACAAAATAATTGGTAATATAAAGTACTAATAAAGGTAATAAGTACTTAGAGAGTCTTACAATTTAGAATGTTATATGCATTTCATGATCAAGTGGATTGGGAATGGAATAGGTGCTTAAAGAGGAGAGATTTAAAAGAGGAGACTGACTTTGCATGTTGAATATCGATATGGCTAGAATTTCAGCGGGAGATAGCTTGGATTTGTCAAACTTAGCAGTTCGGTGAGGAGAATAGATGTCAGACATACAGGATCTGGTGGGACGGGATTGAATGGAGGACTGAAATTGTAGGCTCTGTAGAATGTAGAAGGGTCACTGAGATCTAATAACCTGGTACAGGAAGGTAGAAAGGAAGTACGGATGGCGCACAGTGGAACAAAAGATAGGTTTTCTTGGACTTGGGCCTAATACTCGTAAATGACATTGGATTAACTTGATATTTAGTACACATATGTTTTCAAGGTCAAGGAACACGAATATGAGGTCAAAATAAAAAAAAATACGAAAAAAAAAGGAATTTTTAAATTTGACAATCAATTAACTTTGAAAATAGTAGAAACCTCTTAAAACACATAATTTTAGATACCTATTTATAACTAAAGTCTATATTACTACATATAACCAGTATTTTAATCTTCTTTTTTTTAATTTTAAAAACACAATAAATCACAAAATATAATTATAATATATGTATTCGTAGTAACTTAAAAAGTGTATCGTTTATTAATGATAAATATTCATTTCATAATAGTTCTTATGAAATAATAAACATTTCATTTTATTTTTATTACAAAAAATTTAAAAATCATCGATAATGATATTTTGATCATCGATACGTCCTCACATTCTCGGATGAAAAAATATGTAATTTTTTCATTAATTTTAAAAATTACATTAAGAACAACTGATCCAGATCAAGTCATAAAGGTTCAACCAAATTTTGGTTTGAGGTATTTTTCGAAACAAATAACTACACAACCTTATTTTCTTTATATCCAATACAATTCTTAAAAGTAAATTTGAGAATATGTCTACTAATAGGAAATATTAGTACATACCTAGAAATTGTTCAAACATTTATACATACAAAAATAAATTTAAATATATATTCTACCTTCAGGCAGACTATGGCGATTTACATTAATACGAATTTATCTTTATCAATGAGTGGTAAAAAGTTGTAAGAAATCCATTTTCCGGAGGATATGGGAGCTTTTTTAAAATCACAATCTTTGTAAAAATTTGATTTAAAAACACTTTTTAAAAACACATTTTTGAGCTAGACTGTTAACACAAACACACACACACACACACACACACACCATTTTGTGGGACTTGGTTATTTGGACTCAGGAACCTCAAAACGTCTATTTCCGTTGAAAACTGAGATTCAAAAATTTCACGATCGCAATATTTTCCTTTACTATATATTTCATATATAGGTAAATGAAAATAAAAAGTATGAATCACCAGCTCAAACCAAGCAATTTTACAAATTGTGTGAAATTTTATAAAATGATTAGGTTTTCAATTTAATTATTCAATAAAAACAGTGAAAAATGAGTTTTCTGCCAATTGAAAATATTTTCAACATTTCCAGAAGGCATCAATAAAACAGTTTATATAGTTTTTGCAGTTATAAAAAAAGGTAATAATTTTAGGTGATGTCGCGAGTTTTCCTTTATTTGTCCGCGAAACCTTGGATTTTTTATATTCACTACATACCTAACAATATAAAAAAGAAATTTGAACTACCCAACATTTTGCAAGGTAACATGTCTAATTTGACTGGGCTATAGGTTGGAACAAAAAGCACTTTTTTGGCAGACAACTTTATAATAGCACTCAAAAGTTGCCTTTTTATGTCAATAAAACACCACAAAATTTCGATTTTTTATATTTATATCTTGAGGTTACATCCACAAGTGGGTTAAAAATAAGGTTTTTGTCTAAAAAATTAATTTTTTTTTCTATTTTAGTAAAACATATTTTTGAACAAAAATTTGTTTTAATATCTAACAATAGTAGTTATTGTATATAAATACAATACCTTCTATACTATAACAACAATAATATGAAGTTTGTGTGATCTAACTTTAAACTTGGATTTTTCAGAAAAGTTTAAAATTGGCCTTTTTTACCTAAAATTTGAAATGTTAATTCCAAATTGGACTAATACTTTAAAATTTTGGTTTAAACACAGTTTTTTCAATAATTGCATATAAAAATAATTAAAGAAATGAATAAAAACAATAATGAACTTCCATGTTGTTTTGAGTTTTTCGCTTTTAAAGAGATTTTAGAAAAGTATTTAAAATAAAATTTTGTCTAAAACAGTTACCAAATCCCCATAGTTAAAGAACAATTAGTACATAATTAATAATTAGTGTCAAAAATAATGTAAACATTAAAAATATTTTTTTTATTTGATTAGTTTTATATTTATCTGATTTTAATTTCACATTGAGACTGATATATTAAGCTTGAACCATCACGTGTCAATGGTTCCAAAAATTTTAATTAAAGTCGGAATAAACATGTAAAATTTTAGGTAAAAAGGCCATTTTTTAAACTTTACCGAAAAATCCAAGAATAAAGTTAGAGCACTCAAACTTCATATCATTGTTGTTATAGTAAAGAAGGGTCTATTGTTAGATAACCAATTTTTTTTTTTATTAAAAAAGGTATTACAAAAGTAGAAAAAAAATAATGTATAATTTTAATTTTTTTCTGACAAAAATATTATTTTTAACCCTCTTGCGGAACCTCAAGATATAAATATAAAAAATCGAAATTTTGTGAAGTTTTTATTGACATAAAAAGGCAACTTTTGAGAGCTGCTAGAAAGTTGTCTGCTGAAAAAAGTTTTTAGTTCCACCCTAGTGTACATCATGTATATGACTAGGTAAGCCCTTTATAATAAAAATGTAATAAATTTCTACTTACAATCAAATGTCAAAATCCCAACTTCTGTAGGATTCTTATAATTAGGAGGTACTACAACTGGCTGGAATTGAATTTTCAATGCATTTAAAGATAGTGAATCAGAAATACTCTGAAAAATATAAAAATAAAACACGTAAGAAAGATGTAACCTTGATAATATGGTCTGTTTCTAATAAAAATTGATTAATTTTAATTAAAAGTGCAAAATAAATCTAGGAAAGAGCTATCCTATTAATTGCATTAAGGAAATTTTTTTAGATAGAAGTTCACATTTAAGTCAATTCCCTACTTTTTTTAGAGTTAAAAAATGAAGCAGAACATTTATTACACTTGATATAACCTTCTGTTATTCTCTAGGACCTTTTCCCAGAATTCTTTTTTTTTTTAATTTATTTATTTAGAAATATAATAATCTGTCATTTGGACAATAATTATAGTGAGATATGAACACCTTCACACCATATATACAGAAACATAAAATTAACAAAAGTAAAATAATAACTAAATAATAATCAAGAACTATATACAATAAAAAATAAAATAACCTAAAGATAAGTAAATTAAAAATCATAGTCATACCTATAAACAATATATACTGTCAGGCAGGGAACCACAAGCCAGGCTTGTCCCTCCAACTGTATAAAGTTATTTTTTTTATTTCTATACAATTGAAGATTTTATATCACAGTACTATTTTAAAAACATAATAAAATCAATAAGGAAAGATAAAGTATATTACACAAAGTAAAAGGCTTTATAAAATAATATGGAAAAAAATTGAATATCCAAAAAATTACTTAAGTTAGTTATTGCAAGTATGTAGCCATGCAGTAAGTCCCACAATAAATTACCCACCCTAGTTATCTTAAATTTTCATCACTTAAGTAAGTTAGTGGGTGAATTATTTAAAAAATTGCTATCATAGATCAGGATTTTTACCAATGACAGTCTCAGTGATAATAGTTGCATGAAAATTAGAAATGACCTAGTATATGAATTGATAATGTTATTAATTAATGGTGTATTATAATTATAAAGATGAATATGGTGCATAGACACTGTACATGCCTAAGGCTAGGGTATTTCGGAATGAGGTGCGCTCACAGAAACGAAGACCATGGGATGAATTCATCCAGGAAGAGTCAGCGAAGAATCCCTGAGGTATCCCATACAGGGTGGCTCTTGGAAAACTGACCCCACAGCAAGTCATTGCAGCCCTGAGGGAAGGGGGCACTCAAGCAGCCACTCTGGAGGAGACAGCAAAGATGTTTATTAAAGAGACATATTCCAGGAATTATCCATCACAGGATGATAATGAACATGCATTTGTGAGAAGAGCCATGGTAAACCCGTCTGGGACGAACCTGTGCCCATCATGGGACATTTGGGACCTCCGTAGTGCCGTAGAAATGCAAAAGACTGGCCATGCCCCAGGTTTATATGCGATTGATGCATACAATGCTAAATAATAGTATTCCCTATTTAGAAAATAGACTGCTTGCTATTTTCAACGACTGCCTAGATAGGGGATACTTTCCAAGAAGCTGGAAAATTGCTGATGTCAGACTCTTTTACAAAGGAAGACACAAGGACAAGCAACTTGTCAAATCATACAGGCCTATTTGTCTCCTCTCCATAATGAGCAAGGTATTGGAAAACCTGGTGGTCTTGAGCCTTCGGCCAGTCTTATCAAGATCGAGCCATCCACGGCAGTATGGATTCACTAGATTACTGGGTGTCTCAACTCCTCACGGAACATGGGGGTTTTCGAGTGAAGCTTGTTAAACACAGGAAGAATATTGATCCGCTATGCCCCAACTGCAACGTTCCAGAGACCGCCGAATACGTGGTCGTCGAATGAACTGCCTATGAGGCACTAAGAGCTAAGCTCCTGAAAGAGATGGTGATATATATGCTGACAGAGAGCATATTTCCCCAGCTAATGAGCAGAGAGAATTACCCACATTATATGGAATTCATATACGGGTGGAAAGATGCTGTAGGCCCTACACATTTTAATCTGGGAAGAAGGAGGAAGAATGAAGAAAAGCAAGGCATGGACTTGTGCACAGCCGTCACATACAAGTCTACACCTCAGCTCCAAATACTCCACACAATCACCTTTGTTGAACATTACCAAGATCTTCAATTCTCTATGTATAAAAAGAAGATCTACATACAGGTTATGTTTATTTTCAAAAGCTTTTTATTCAGTTAATTATAAAATCCTCTTTTCCATACTTCAAAACCTCTCCATATAAAATAGAATTTAAAAATAATTCCATTCCTTCTTGTCTCGTAGATCCCAAAGAGTTATCATTCTGAATAAACCTCCTCCCAAGGTTCCAAGGAAGACAATTGTCATTAAATTGTAAATTGTAGTTATTCTAAGGGGACTTGGTCCCAGAATAAAATTTATTTTTCTTCATCTTTTTCTCCTTTAACTTTACTCTTACTATCCCTTTTCTCTGTCTATATTGAGAATCTTTCTAATTCCATTATCCATTTACAATATCATATATATGCTGATGAGCATCCTCTATACATGGCCTCCTGCTCATCTGAGGCGGTACCTTTTGACAGTGACTACAATATTGCCATTATTATAGAGATCATCGTTTTTTCATATTCACTACTGATCATTTATTTTCTTCGGAACTTAGATTTTTTTTAGAACTTTCCTCTCCCAAATTTTAAGCAACCTCTCATTTTCTTGAATCAAAACCCATAGATAATGACTAGCCTTAAAATGGTTTTATAAATTGTTACTTTGGCATTCCATGTTAGTTCATTTGATTATGGTATTTTTGCCAGGGAATTCTTTTCCCATCGGAAAAACATGCTCATTAATTTAGCTACATTATTCCTTGAGAACTTCATGTACAGACTTTTTCCTTAATTTATCCTCAGACTAAGTTCAAATTCCTGTCCCTTCTAATTCCTCGATTAATCCTGCAAGGGCTGACAACGTGCGAGTGCTGATAAGAATATTGTCCGCATACGCAAGGCACAATGTTAGTCAATTATATATCATCCCTACAGGATTGGACCTTATTGCTCTAACAGCCTACTTCAGCACTAGATTAAAGAGAACTATAGTGTTTCCCTGCTTTAAAGCTTAAACAAGGCTTGTTTGATCTGAAAGCTGTTTGAGAGAACATTTTGAATTTTGACTTTATATTTGGTATCTCTTAGTCAGCATCATCTCTGTTAAGAAAATCAATTTATCAGGAAGTCCTAGTATTCTCATAGTTTGTTTTAATTCGTTTCTGTCGATAGTCATGTGCCTACTTAAAATTTATTAAGACATGATACATGGTACAGATCCACATTACGCTCCTATTTTTTCCCTAACATTTTTCTAGGTCCATGTCGCTGGCCCGGCACCTATGGCATTTCTAGTTGAAACCTATACCAATATTTAGTACCTAATTTGTACTAATTTGTACCTCAAAAATTAGAATTTGTAACCCTCAGGAACCGGAGATATAACGCTCGTAAAAGTGGAGGGCCAGGGACATGGTGGCCGGCACCTATAGAATTCCGAGTTGAAACCTATGCCAATATTTAGTACCTAATTTGTACCTCAAAAATTAGAATTTGTACCCCTCAGGAACCGGAGATATAACGCTCGTAAAAGTGCCGGGCTAGCGACATAATCAAATAACATATCGATTTTCGAGTTGAAACTTATGCCAATATTTAGAGCCCAAATTTGTACACCTAAAATTAGAATTTGTACATCTCAGGAACCGGAGATATAACGCTCGAAAGAGTGACGGGACCGCAAGTTCCATCTCCCTGGCCGACACCAATGGATTTTCGAGTTGAAACTTATGCCAATATTTAGTACATAATTTGTACTAATTTGTAAACCAAAAATTATAATTAGTACCCCTCAGGAACCGGAGATATAAGGTCCATCTCCCTGGCCGACAACAATGGATTTTCGAGTTGAAACCTATGCCAATATTTAGTACCTAATTTGTACCTCAAAAATTAGAATTTGTACCCCTCAAGAACCGGAGATATAAGGTCCATAAGGCTAGCGACATAATCAGATGACATATCGATTTTCGAGTTGAAACTTATGCCAATATTTAGTACCTAATTGGTACTAATTTGTACACCAAAAATTAGAATTTGTACCTCTCAGGAACTGGAGATATAAAGCACAAAAGAGTGCCGGGACCGGAAGTTCCATCTCCCTGGCCGACACCAATGGATTTTCGAGTTGAATCTTATGCCAATATTTAGTACATAATTTGTACTAATTTGTACACCAAAAATTAGAATTAGTACCCCTCAGGAACCGGAGATATAAGGTCCATGTCGCTGGCCCGGCACCTATGGAATTTCGAGTTGAAACCTGTGCCAATATTTAGTACCTAATTTGTACTAATTTTTACCTCAAAAATTAGAATTAGTACCCCTCAGAAACCGGAGATATAAAGCTCGAAAGAGTGACGGGACCACAAGTTCCATCTCCCTGGCCGACACCAATGGATTTTCGAGTTAAAACTTATGCCAATATTTAGTACATAATTTGTACACCAAAAATTATAGTTAGTACCCCTCAGGAACCGGAGATATAAGGTCCATGTCCCTGGCCCGGCACCTATGGAATTTCGAGTCGAAACCTGTGCCAATATTTAGTACCTGATTTGTACTAATTTTTACCTCAAAAATTAGAATTAGTACCCCTCAGAAACCGGACATATAAAGCTCGAAAGAGTGCCGGGACTGGAAGTTCCATCTCCCTGGCCGACACCAATGGATTTTCGAGTTGAAACTTATGCCAATATTTAGTACATAATTTGTACTAATTTGTAAACCAAAAATTAAAATTAGTACCCCTCAGGAACCGGAGATATAAGGTCCATCTCCCTGGCCGACAACAATGGATTTTCGAGTTGAAACCTATGCCAATATTTAGTACTTAATTTGTACCTCAAAAATTAGAATTTGTACCCCTCAAGAACCGGAGATATAAGGTCCATAAGGCTAGCGACATAATCAGATGACATATCGATTTTCGAGTTGAAACTTATGCCAATATTTAGTACCTAATTGGTACTAATTTGTACACCAAAAATTAGAATTTGTACC